ATTAATTTTTCTGTAAAAATTTAATTATTCCTATAATTAATTTTAGTACTAAACATTAATTTTATTATTGAATAAGCGAATTTCTCTTCTTCTTTTAAAAAAAGTTAATTATTACGTATCAAATTAAAATCAATTAAATTGTAAAATTTATTAATTAATTTAGCTCTATAAGTGAGTAATAGACACAAGAATATGTAATACTCCACTTCGCATGGGTAAAAATAGTATATCTTTTGCTCTAATAATCCTGAACAATTGAGTCATGCCTATATATATGCATATACCTGCATTTATAAAAATAAACCCCATATAATGAATCCTAAAACTCTTAAGACTAATTAACTAATAATTCTTTTTTTTCTTTTTTTTTCGAGAAAGCATACCTAATCGACACAGTTGATTTTAGAAAAAAAAATTGAAAGATAAATTAAAAAACCTGTCATTTTATGGTTTTCATGTTTCTTTTTCTATAATTGAAATTCAATTAACCAGTATTAGAGATTTTTAGATTTGGATATATTCATAAAATTTCACTGTTATTATCACAATATTATAGACATTGATAATTATATAGTAATTCCGGTTTTAAAAACATTTCCGTTATAATCGTTTTCCTTTTTCTTTATATTACAATGTCAAATGCTACCTGTTTTTGTATTTTATTCTCAATTTCGTTGTTTTTTAGAAAGTTTATTTTACTGTAAAAAACAGTTGTGTTCGTTGGGGACATTTTTACACTTTTTTTTTGTTTTCTTTTCTTCGGAAAACATTATTTATAATATGAGCATAAATAATTAACAGTTATTCTTTTTTTAAACTTTTTTAATTTATTTTTTTTAATGTTTTCAATTTTAAAATTTATCTATTGAAAATCATTGAATTCTTACCAAGAATGTTATCAAAAAAGTTTGAAAATAATTAAATTCCTTAGAAAATTTTTATTGTGGATTAAAATAATTGAATTCTTGCAAAGAATTTTATTAAAATTTTTGAAAATCCCCTAATTAAATTATTTTGAAAAATTTCTTTGAATTTTTTAAAAATATTGGAGTTTTTTTAATAATTTTAATTAAAAATTGAAAGTAATTGGATTTTATATTATTACGAATTTTTTTCAAGTATTTTAATTAATCGTCTTTGTTAATAGTCAAAATTAAACATTTGAATTTTGAATTTTATTAACATTTTTAGAAAATAATTAAATTCTTCTCAGGAATTTTATTAGAATTTAAAAAAAAATTGAATTGATTTAAAGAATTTTAGTAAAATATTGAATTATTACAAAAATTTCTTTAATTTTTTAAATATAATTGATTTTGTTAATAATTGTACCTAATTAATAATTTTACTATTAAATTTCATTGAAATTTTAGATAAAAAATTCCATTAGAGTTTTTGTAAATAATTAAATTTTTTGAAGAATTTCTTTACGTTTTTTGAAAAGAATGTTTTTTTTAATAATTTTATTTGAAAACTTTGAAAATAATTGAATTAAACAAATAATTTTTTTCAACTTTTTTAAAAAATCGTGCCTATTAATAATTATAATACCTAAATAATTTGATAATTGAATTTTATTAAAATTGTATTGAAAATAATTGAATTCCTGAAAAGAATTGAATCCTGCGAAGAATTTTATTATTTATAAAAATAATTCAATTCTTGCGAAGAATTATTTCACTATTTATTAAAATAGATGAATTATTTCAAAGGATTTATTAAAAATTTTAGAAAATAATTGAATTCATGCAAAGAATTTTATTATTTATAAAAATAATTCAATTCTTATGCAGAATTCTACTATTTATGAAAATAATTAAATTCTTTTGAAGAATTTATTAACATTTTAGAAAATAATTAAATTCTTCTGACAAATGTTATTATTTATGAAAATAATTAAATTCTTTTGAAAAATTTCTTTAAGTAACTAAAATAATTGAATTTTTAAGAAGAATTTCGTTAAAATTGCATTTAAAATATTTGAATACCTGTGATGAATTTTACTATTTATAAAAATAATTGAATTCTTTCGAAACATTTATTAAAATTTTAAGAAATAATTGAATTCTTTTGAAATTTTTTTTAAATAATTGAATTTCTGCAAAGAATTTTAATATTTATAAAAATAATTGAATTCTTCCGAAGAATGTTATTATTTAATATTTATGAAGAAATAATTGAATTGTTTCGAAGAATTAATTAAAATTTTTGAAAATAATTGAATTCTTACCAAAAATTGAATAATTGAATATTGAATTCTTGCGAAGAATTTTATTAGAGTTTTTAAAAATAATAAACAATAATAATTAATTAATTATGTGCTTAATAATTGAATTTTTTAAATTTCGAATCTGAAATTGTTCAAAAATTGAAGTTTATAATTGAAAATAAAAAATTTTGTTATTTGCATAATAATAGTAATAGAAAATTGAATATCATGTTTCACGCATAACATTTGCTAGTTATTTGTTATAATTATCAATTAATTAATATTACTAACAATTAAAATAAAAATAAATAAAATACTAACAATTAATTGTCCAATAACTAATAATTATTATAATTAATAATTACTATATATGCAATTATAATCAAAAGTGTAATCATAATTTGTAAATAATTTTTTTTTCTTTGAACGATGAGATATAATTTGTTATTTTCGCCTCTAACATCGTTTGTGCATCGTCTTTTTTAAAATAAGATCAACAGTTCAAAGTATGAAATGCCAAACGAGTGAAACATTTACATCTGACATTTTCTATACAATATTCTTATCCAACAATAATCGCTAAATGATTTTAGAAAGTAAAATAGTAAATTATTTTTGAATAGTTTATCTTGTGGAGTTTTTCTTTTCGTCTTTTCTTTTTTCATCTCATTTTAGATATATTGTTGTTTCCAGTGTAAGTTTATCCGATATCGAATCAATTACAGGTTTTAGAATTTGTACGATTTCTCTCTTGTTTTACATTTATTTATTTAATTTCAGTTATCTTTAATTAGTAGCTAATTAATTTAAACGAATGAAAATTATATTTTTTTCTGAATTTTTTTTTTGTGAATTTCTGAATTATTCTCTGAATATTTTAATAATTTTTGGAAATAGGTATCTGAATTATTTTCTGAATTTCTGAATTTAATTACATTCGTCTCTCAATTTATTTCTTCTTTTATTTCACAATGACAATCACTGTCCATCAAACTTCTTTCCTGTGTGGCAAAATTGACCTAATTTGAAATTTGAAATTTTTATAATTTTTTTTATTTAGAGGAAAATTAAAATGTTTCGTTATTTTTTATTTTTTCATTAGAGAAATAATTAAAAATTGATGAATATTTGTGAATTGCATTTACTTTGTTATTTTATTTCATTTTTATTATTTATTTTCTTATTTTATTTATTATTTTATTCCACCTTTTTTATTTACTTTTTTTATTTATTTATTTATACGGGTAGTTCCCGTGTAAAATTATATTTTATTTATTTATTTTGTTTGTTATGATAAAAATCATCAAAATGAATATTTGTTTATTTTTATTTTTATTTATAAATTGTGATAATTAAATTCGCTTATGATTTTTGATGAGCGGAAAACTTTCGATATGTTTTGTTTTTATTTTCCATTTTTATTTTCGTTTGACATTTTTCAAATATATATTCTCGAATGATAATTAATATATCGAGAGCTTTTATTGTCAATACAGGTTGTTTTGTTCTGAATGAGTCTGCGTGTGAAAATAGATCGAACCATTCCTATAATGATTTTTATTTATTGAAAGTCGTTTTGTGGTAGAATAATAATTTGCTTTTCTGCATTATAGATATTATTACCTATTGTGAATTATAGGAATTGTTTCGAAAGGAAAGGAAAAATTGACATTTGAAATTTTCCCTCGTGTTCGAATTATATATCCATCGAATTATTTTATCGTTCAACTGAATTATTATACTTCCTGATTAATGTTATTCGATTTCTTTATTCAAAAATATTGTGAAGAAATTATTTTACTTTATTTCCCCTTTACTTTTTTTTTATCTTTTTAGGCCTCGGATATTATGACTTTTTCGACTTTTTCGACTATTTTCAAAAAATGCGACTTTTTTCGACTTATTTTCAAAAATTGCGACTTTTCGACTTTTTTCCAAATGTTGCAACAAAATACCGCATTTTTAGTACAAAATGCAACTTATTTCGATTTTTATAATGTGAAAAATAACTATATAGACAAATTTTTCAAAATTATATTTTTGAATAATTTTTTACGATAATAAAATTTAAAAAATTTACTTATAATTAAAAAATTTTAGAATAATTAAAACTTCGTAAAATTTAATTGAAAATAGTTTATTTTTTTAAGTATTTTATTAAAATTTTTGAAAATCAACTATTAAAGAATTTTAATTGCAAATTTTTAAAATTAATTTTAATAATTAAATTCTCAAAAATTTTAATGGAAAATCTTTAAGTGTAAATTTTGAAATGAAAATTAATGAAAATTTTCTTCAGAAGGTTTTGAATTGAAATTTAAAAAATTTTATTTCCTGTAGAAAAACAGATAAGAAGTAGGATTTAAATATTTATTGGACAAAATTATTCAAGTTTTAAATAATTGAATTTAGAAATTAGTGAAAAGTAAGGAAAATACAAAATAAAATTTTTGTAACAACACTGAATTAAATAAAACGACTTTTTCGATTTTTTTTTTTGTATTTTTAATCGACTAAAGCGACTTTTTTTGCGCCTTAAAGTCGATCCGAGGCCTGAAATTATTTTACTTTATTTTCCCTCTTACTTCCTTTTTTATCTTTTAGAAAAATATTTTTTTGAAAATTTCTCTAAAAAGTATTGAATTACTTTTTTTTAAATTGAATTGAAGTATTTTTTAATAAGATTTTGAAAAAAGAGTTGTAAAATATAATTTGAAATGACGCACTCAACACGACCTTCTAAGACAAGCTTTTTCTTATCTCAATATTCTGTTATCTGAAATATGTCAAGACCCTGGAATGGATGCTGTGCACCATTCAATTAGTAAAGAAAGCAATTTTATTAACTCGTCTTCAATTCGCTTGTAGAGGAACGAAAAAAATGAAAAGAAAACTGGACTAATTCATCGCCTATCGACACGGATTCGGATCGGAGCAGAGGAAAAAAAAAGAGAAGAGCGAACGAGACAAATATCACATCGATTGTGACCTTCTCGGAATTGTTCGGAATCAAAAAAAGAGAAGCTGATTGAAAAAGAGAAAAATTGATTTAAAACAAAGTGTATTCTACGAAATTTTTGCTTTTCGTGAGAATTATTTTTTTTTCATCCTAAAATTGAAACCGAGTTTGAAACTATGTCATGACCAGCACCGACTCGACGACCTCATTTTGCACTAAAAGCGAGGAAAAGGATGATGATGATGTTCGTCGCATCGATTCCTCGTCCTCGAGACAAGCAACAAGACCGAGAAATTTTGGCTCCACAATTGCCCTCGGAAATTCAACATTTGAATCGCTTGCACTCGATGTTTCATTCTCAGGACTTGCCAGTGCATCGACACCAACACCAACGACAAGGAAAAGGACGACGACAAATTTTTTCACTCGAAATCCAGAGGAGAGAGATCCTGAAATTTGGGAAGATATTGGAGTTGTTGAATATTTGGAGAGAGGACTCAGTCCTGGTGATGAGAGTACTGTCGAGGATCGTGAAGAGACACTTCGACAAGTTCTGTCCGAAACAGATATACACGAGGGCGATGGAGATCTGTCGGATTTTTTATTTCACGTAGCACGAACGAAACACGGGAGGATTTACATTCGTGTCATTCGTACACTTCTCTTAAATCGAGGTAGATTTTTTTTGCTTTATTTGCAAATTTTTGCAATATTCTTACTGAATATTTTTTTTCTAAATACGAAAAAGTTACTTGTTTTGTAGAAAGGGATCGAGATGTTAAAAAAAAAATTGTGGGTTATGATTAACTTTCAGTTTCTTTTGTTTTTATTTTACTTCTTTTGTTTTCATTACATCCGCAGCTCTTGGATAAAATCTATCTTCTTTATTAATAATCATAGTATTCTGGTAATTAAAATTTTATTGAAAATAAATCCCATAAAAGAGAGGAAAAAATGTTGAATTTTAAGTAATTCGGATTTTTGAATTTTTGATAATTTTCGATAATTTTAGATTTTTTACCAAAGAGTCGAGACTATTAAATAAGTAAAGTATTTTCCAAGAGCACAAAAATAATGAAGCTTAATCCCATAAAAGAGAGGAAAAAATGTTGAATTTTAAGAAATTCGGATTTTTGAATTTTTGATAATTTGGATAATTTTAGATTTTTTACCAAAGGGTTGAGACTATTAAATAAGTAAAGTATTTTCCAAGAGCACAAAAATAATGAAGCTTAATCCCCTAAAAAAGAGGAAAAAATGTTGAATTTTAAGATTTTCGGATTTTTGAATTTTTGATAATTTGGATAATTTTAGATTTTTTACCAAAGAGTCGAGACTATTAAATAATTAAAGTATTTTCCAAGAGCACAAAAATAATGTAGCTTAATCCCATAAAAGAAAGGAAAAAATGTTGAATTTTAAGAAAATCGGTTTTTTTAATTTTTGATAAATTTTTGATAATTTTAGATTTTTTACCAAAGGGTGGAGACTATTAAATAAGTAAAGTATTTTCCAAGAGCACAAAAATAAAGAAGCTTAATCCCATAAAAGAGAGGAAAAAATGTTGAATTTTAAGAAAATCGGTTTTTTTAATTTTTGATAAATTTTTATAATTTTAGAATTTTTACCAAAGGGTGGAGACTTTTAAATAAGTAAAGTGTTTTTAAAGAGCCCAAAAATAATGAAATTAGATTTAAAATTCCACTAGTATTTCGTAAAAATTTGACCTGGAAGTCATGGAAAAGGTATGGAATTTTAAATTCGGATTTCTGTTGGAATCCTGCCAAAATGTTATGTTTGAAAATTTTAAAAATTTCACATGTTAACGCAAAATTTTGAAAAGTAAATTAATTTCCAAATTTTTTATTGCAAAAATTTTATTTTGAACTAATTAGAACAAAAATGATTCTACATATAAAAGAAGACTTGAAAATAAATAAAATTCTGTTTTTCTTAGAAAATAATATTAAATAATATTAAAAAATCGTATTTTGCATTTTTATATTAGTTTTTCCACAATAAATATTTAATTGAAAAATTTTCAAATTATTGAAATTTCATATAATTGAACTGTAAACAAGTGGATTTAAGAAATATTTTTGGTAAATTTTCTTTTTCTTTAAATAAATATTTTAATTCATAAATTTTCTTTAAAAAAATATTAAGAATAATTGAATTAGAGAAGAATTTTAATTAAAAATTCTAGAAAATAATTAAATTGAAAACTGGAAAATAATTTTGGATAAATTCTCATAAATTATTGGATTTCAAAGGATTTAAAATTTTGATTTCGGAATTTTTTAAAATTTATTATTCTTTAAGGCCAGGGAAAAAGGAAAATACTGTCCGGAAATCAAGGAAAAATAAAATCAAATTTTTCTGGCAACCCTAAAATGACTCTGGACTTTTTCTCACAATTTTCGAATAAATGTGACTTTTTTCAAAAATCGCAGGAAAAATGTCACCTTTTTACAATTTTTGTTTCTGGAAATAATTCACTAGATTTGAAATATTTTCGAAAGTGTTTTTTACTCTTTTTTTTACCTTTTTTATCTTTTTTTTCTCTCAAGACATCAATTATGATTGTATCTGAAACGTCCATGACAAGAATCTCTATTTCAATCGATTCTCTCAACTTAGAATCTAATTCCATTTCATCTAGAAAATTGTTTATCGAACCGTAAGTTGTTATTGGAGTTATAAAATTTTTTTTGCTATTGTGTTAAATTGCTACTAAAAAAACGAATCATTTTTTTTCCCGCGCGATAGGTGCATGTAAATATAAATTAGATTACGAATTAAAATTCTTCGAAGATGATTAAAGAATTTAATTTCTGCAAATTTATTTCATCATCATAAAAAATGCATTGTTCGAGAGGTATAAAGTGTTTCGATCCAGAAGATATATTCTCCTATTTTTCCCCCCGGTTTGAATAAAACATTATTTTTTTTTTGCATTGAAAAGATTTTCAAAAGGAAAGGAGTAATAAGAGCGATACGATTGTTATCATCGTGAACCATGTCAAAAGAGACCTTGTGTGTGAGAAGACGACCTTTCTCTCTCGAGACGACGACGACAGCTTGAGCACTTGTACTTTAACATATTTTTTTTCATTTTCTCACACGAGTTTCCACTTTTAGTTATATAGAGATGCGTTAGTCAAGAGTCCGCTTCTTTTCTTTTTCTACTTCTTCTTTTTTCTTTTTATCATGTAATTCCTTTTTATTATTTAATCCTGTGAAATTTCTCAGCTTAATGAAAATAATTGAATAGTCTCAAATAGTTTTAATTAACGGTATTTACTTTTATCCATACAGTTAGATTGATACAAAGAATTCGCAATTTTCAGAAAAAGAATACACACACCGTTTTTGTAATTATGTAATTCTGGTTATTGTTGGATTCATTAAACTAGAATATAAAAAATAAACATTTGAAAAAGGGGAAATAAAACTAAAATACTAAAAATTTTCTCTAATTTTCAGACAAAATTTAGATTTTTTTCCTAGTCATAAATTTTAATAACCAAATTAATTCTTAGACAAAAAATAAACCTAAAAAAATAGATCATAAAAATAACAAATAAAAGTAAATTCAAAGTTTAAGTCCATTAATTTATTAATAGAAAAAAAAATTTATTTGATTCAAATAACCGATTAATTGACTATTATCAATTAAATATTTAATTGCATCAAATAACTAATATTTATTGGAGTCAATTAAATGTTATTTACTTCAAATACTGAAATTATTGGTTAAAATATTATTTGATTCAAGTAAATATTTAATTGATAATAGTCAATTAATCGGTTATTTGAATCAAATAAATTTTTTTCAGTGGAATATTATTTGTCAAACTCTCTAAATTCAATGTTTAATCATAAATAATTAAAAAATTACAGACTTTACCAATAAATTAATAGAATTTCAAAATATTTATCAGAAAATTTTAACTAATTTAAGCAGCAAAAAAGTTAGATTATTTTTTTTTTATAAAATTGAAATTGACTGCTTTTTTAAAGAAAGAAAAAATCAAAATGTTGTCTAGAAATCAGAGAAAAACGGAATAAAATTTTTTCGGCAAACCTGGTCAAGGAAAAAGTTAGGAAAAGTCAGAATTTTTTTCTCCATTCGTAAGAAAAAAAAATAATAAAATTCTCGAAGAAAATAAAAAAATCTACTTATTTTTAATAAGTTTCAAATTAAAAATTATTATTATAAATTGATGCTTTCAGAAGTTTTGTTTATTTTTTTTAAGAGAAAAGTCAGATTTTTAAAATATTTCAATTCTATTCTTTTAAAAATAATCGAATCTTCATAAACAAGTAAAAGAAAATTTTTGAAATAATTCAATTTTTCTAAAATTCGATTAAAAAATAATTTAATTTTTTTAAATATTTTATTTTTCTTATTCAAGTTTTTAAAGATAATCGAGAAAAGTTAACTACCAGTAATTAATTTTCTTTCTTAAATCAGATAAAAAATTAAATTTTTAATTCTAAAAATTATTCTTTTTCTAATAAAAGTAAATTTCACTTGAATTTTTTTGTAATAGGAGGAAAAAGTCTAGAAATCAGGGAAAAAAGGAATAATTTTTTTTTTTGCATCCCTGGTCAGGGAAAAAGTCAGGAAAAGTCAGAATTTTTTCTCTTAATTTTTACAAGTTAAAAAATTTTAAAAATTCCCCAAAAAAAATTAAAATTTCTATTAATTTACACAAACAAAAAAATCTACTTATTTTTAATAAATTTCAAATTAAAAATTATTTTTAAAAATTGATGCTTTAAGAAGTTTTGCTTATTATTTTATTTTAAGAGAAAAGTCATATTTTTTAAATATTTCAATTCTATTCTCTTAAAAATAATCGATTTTTCATAAACAAGTAAAAGAAAAATTTTGAATTAATTCAATTCTTCCAAAATTCGATTAGAAAATAATTTAATTTTTTGAAACTTTTAATTTTTCTTATTGAACTTTTTGTAAATATTCGAGGAAAGTAGGATTAATTTTATTTTTTAAACTAGATAGACAATCAAATTTTTGCTTCTAAAAATGATCTTTTTTTCTCATCAAATTAAATTTCACACTTGAATTTTCTTTAATAGAAGAAAAAAGTCTAGAAATCAGGAAAAAACGAAATCAAATTTTTTTGGCAACCCTGATAGGGAAAAAGTCAGGAAAAGTTAGAATTTTTTTTGTCAATTCTCACAGGACGAATTCTCGAGGAAAATAAATTTTTTTTATTAATTTCTTAATTAATTAATTTCAAAAAGTTTCAAAATTTAAATTGTTAAAAAAAATTGTAAAAAAAAGTTGATGTTTTAAGAAATTTATTATTTCAAATTCAGAAAGTTAGATTTTTAAAATATTTCGATTCTATTCTTTTAAAATTAATCGAATCTTCATAAAGAAGTAAATGAAAATTTTTCTAAAATTTGCTTAACAAATAATTCCATTTTTTGAAACTTTTCATTTTTCTTCTTAAACTTTTCGAAAATAATCGCGAAAAGTTAACTACCAGTAAGTAATTATTTTATTTTTTAAATCAGATAGAAAATAAAATTTTTCTTTCTAAAAATTATCTTTTTTCTCATAAAATTAAATTTCATTTGAATTTTCTTTAATAGAAGGAAAAAATCTAGAAATCGGAAAAACGAAATAAAATTTTTTTTG